TTATTTTATATAATATAAGTTCTTTCTCATAATATCTACTCAATTATTTTCTATGAATATTTTTAAAAAGACAATAGTCCACTACAAGAAAAAACACATTTAGCCACCGAAATTAGTGACCGAATTTTTTCGGTCGCAATTAGCGACCGCTTTAGCGACCGATTTAATTTTAGTCGCAATTAGTGACCGATTTAGCGACCACTTTAATTCGGTCGCAATTAGCAACCGATTTAGCGACTAAAATATAATTTATTTTGCACTTTTTTATTTAGCGACCGAAATAGCGACAAATATTTTACGTCGCAAAATTTCGGTCGCTAAATCGGTGGCTATTTCATACTGAAATAAAAAAATCTTTTAGCGACTGATTTAGCGACCGAATTACAAATTGAAATAGTGACCGAATTAAAATCGGTCAGCTAATGAGAAAATAGCGACCGAATTGAAATCAGTCGCTAATGAATATTATTTTTTTATTATATTTAAATTTTTTTTATATAAATATACTTTAATTGTTTTAGTATATTTTTTACAATTTATTTTTTAAAAGTAATTTATTTTTTAAAAATAATTTAATTTTTAAAATATACTTTAAAAATAAACTTTGGTCTCAATATTAACAAAATAAATTGTAATAAATCAAATTTATTAAAAATTTAAATTGTAATAAATTAATACTAGAGTGATGTTAACTATTCAATACATTGTTTAAGAAAAGTTTAATAACAAATATTCTTGAATTTATTTTTCAATTGAAAATTTCAATTGAAATTAAATTACATTTTAAAAATTTATATTAAAAAATTAAAGAAAATAGAGATTTAATTATACTTTTAATAAATTTAACATAATAATAGTTTTGATTTTTATTTTTAAATATTTATTTTAATTTTTTAAAACAGAGAAACTATAATTTTAGTTTCTAAATACTAAATTTAAAGAATTAAATTTATTATTATTTAATCTTTTAATTTTAGTATTAAAAATTTAAATTATATTTTATTAAATTAAAATAATATTACAATATATTTTTCTACTTTGAGAATGAAAAATATAATTAAACTAAAACTGAAAATATTATAATACATTTTTGAACTCTTTTTGATTAATTTTTTTCCTAATTTTTTATAAAGTCAATTTTAATATTTAAAAGTATTTAACATTTTGCTTTCCGAAATGTTTTCTCGTATTACCAAATTCCAGCTCTTAATAACCTCTACAACCAAATTCCAGCTGCAGAGAAACCAAGTGCCCAAATTCCAGGCACCAAACAATACAAAAAGAATGTAAAGAAATGAAAAAGAAGAAACTAGAATGCTCAAACCAGTTTATGCAATTCTGCTGTAAGTGTTTCTTCTTTAAAAGAAATCAAGTTGCCTCAAGAAAGATTTTCAAAGAACTACTCAAAAACTGATGCGAATCTTTCTTGAAAAGAGTGCTGAAGTTTGCTTGATTGATTGCTCAAGGATGTGTAAAAGATGATATTCAATGTATGTTAAAAAAGTTCAAGCCAAACTGTTTTTATAGAAGATTTTCAAAATTGCTGGTTTAATTAATCTGTTAAAAGATTCTTTTAATCTGTTAAAAGTGCAGCTTTAATCTGTTAAAACTTCTTTTAATCCATTAATACGTTCTTGATTCTTTAACTGATTTGTTTTAAGCTGATACGACTACGTTTATATCAATTAAAACACTTTACAAAAAATCTTCTAAGTTGATTTAATCGATTGTTTCGCGATTCAATCGATTGAAATACTTGCAAAACTTTCTTGTAAAACTTTTCAAGTTATTTTAAGCTGATAAAAATAAGTTTTAATCGATTAAAACGCTGTGTAGAAATTTTTAAGTTGTTTTAATCGATTGAAACGAGATTTAATCGATTAAACGAGTTCGATCGGTCATAATTAAATTTTGATCGATCATAATCGATTCTGATCAGTCATAATTGCATTCGATCGATCATCCTGAACCCTTAAGTGGTTTTAATCGATTAAAATCAAGTTGTATCGATTAAAATATTGTAAAAACATTTCACTTGACATTTTAAGTAATTTTAATCGGTTCTATCAAAGTCTGTATCGGTTAAAAACTTGTTTGAGAAAGCTTTTGTCAAAATACTTTGTTTTTAATTGTTAAAAACATTTGTAGAGGCATTTTGCAAAATCTTTTAAGTGAAGAAACCTCATGCAACAAAAATCTTTTAATTTTAGTATTAAAAATTTAAATTATATTTTATTAAATTAAAATAATTACAATATATTTTTCTACTTTGAGAATGAACAATATAATTAAACTCAAAATTGACAATATTATAATACATTTTTGAACTCTTTTGGATTAATTGTTTTTTTACTAATTTTTTATAAAGTTAATTTTAATATTTAAAAGTATTTAACATTTTGAATTCTGAAAGGTTTTCTCTAATAGCAAATTTAAAAACATAATATTCAAAAAAATAGTTAATGTAAGTTTTCATTATGATCGATTATAATTAAAAATGATAGATCATAATTGAGAAGATATGATAGCGGTTCCACGTTAACCACTATCTAAAGTATAATTTAGATAGCGGTTAAGGGTTAACCGCTATTATAAGTGCACTTTTAAGAGCGGTTCCTGTGGAACCGTTATCTTAAATGTATTTCGCTTGAGCGACACTGGTCTCGCTCGAGCGAAACGCCCCCTGCACAAAATTGGCATTCTTGGGTTGTATTTCGCTTGAGCGACTCTAGTCTCGCTCAAGCGATATCTGATGAAAAAATGTATCAATAAATAAATAAAATATAGTTAGATAGTGGTTAAGGTTTAACTGCTATTATAAGTGCGCTTTTAAGAGCGGTTCTTGTGGAACCGCTATCTTAAATGTATTTCGCTTGAGCGACACTGGTCTCGCTCGAGCGAAACGCCCCCTACACAAAATTGGCATTCTTGGGTTGTATTCGCTTGACCGACTCTAGTCTCGCTCGAGCGATATCTGATGAAAAAATGTATCAATAAATAAATAAAATATAGTTAGATAGCGGTTAAGGTTTAACCGCTATTAGAAGTGCTCTTTTAAGAGCGGTTCCATTGGAACCGCTATCATATACAACTAGATTTTTTAATTCGATCGATTAGATTTTGAAAATGATCGATCATATTTGATAATTTTTTCAAATAATTAATTATAATCGATTAGTTTTCTAAATTATTGATTAGAATTGATTAGTTTTTCAAATAATAGATTAGAATTGATTAATTTCAAAATATATACTAAAAAATTATAATTAAAAATATAAATTATTTAAGAATATTGACTATTGTAAAGATAAAGTAGAACATGGGAGGATATGAGGATGATAATATAATGATAGAACTTACAAAAATGTAGAATTGAGAAGTTTGAAACAAATAAAATTAAGAAAATAGAGATTTAATTACACTTTTAATAAATTTAAGATAATACTAGTTTTGATTTTTATTTTTAAATATTTATTTTAATTATTTAAAACAGAGAAACTATAATATTAGTTTCTAAATACTAAATTTAAAGAATTAAATTTATTATTATTTAATCTTTTAATTTTAGTATTACAAATTTAAATTATATTTTATTAAATTAAAATAATTACAATATATTTTTCTACTTTGAGAATGAACAATATAATTAAACTCCAAATTGACAATATTATAATACATTTTTGAACTCTTTTGGATTAATTTTTTTTCCTAATTTTTGATAAAGTTAATTTTAATATTTAAAAGTATTTAACATTTTGAATTCTGAAAGGTTTTCTCTAATAGCAAATTTAAAAACATAATATTCAAAAAAATAGTTAATGTAAGTTTTCATTATGATCGATTATAAATAGAAATGATCGATCATAATTGAGAAGATATGATAGCGGTTCCACATTAACCGCTATCTAAAGTATAATTTAGATAGCGGTTAAGGGTTAACCGCTATCATATACAACCAGATTTTAAGATTGTGAAGTCTCGGGTTGTATTTCGCTTGAGCGACACTATACTCGCTCGAGCGACATCCGATTCAAACATGAGGTCACCCATGTTACATTATCCGGCTAACTTTGATCGACCGTTAGTAGGTCAACATTCGCTCAAGCGAAAATAACATCGCTCGAACGAAACGCCCCCTGCACAAAATTGGCATTCTCGGGTTGTATTTCGCTTGAGCGACACGGTCTCGCTCGAGCGACGCCACCTGCACAAAATTGGCATTCTCGGGTTATTTTTCGCTTGAGCGACAATGATCTCGCTCGAGCGACATCCACATTTTTTGATTATGATCGATTACATTTTCAAATGATCGATCATATTTGAAAATATATAATAGCGGTTAATATTTAACCGCTATTAGAAGTGCTATATAATAACGGTTAAGATTTAACTGCTATTAGAAGTGATATTATAATAGCGGTTAAGATTTAACCGCTATCATATACTACCACATTTTTCATTTTCGTATCTCGCGCCACTTATCCCCAAATAACCCTAACTCTCGCGCCTCACTCACCCATTCCTCTTAACCTTGGCCAGTATCTCCTCCTCACTCCCGGCGAGCCCTAGCCCCCTCACTGCTCCCCCCAAGTCAGCCCTCACCCTAATCCAACCTCCACCAAAGCTCCTCGTCAACCGGACGCCACCCTGTGAGCCACCGCGCCACACCTCTGTTCTTAACCTCCTCCGCAGCCTCTGACACCCTCAACCAAGGTTTGACTTGTTTGAATGTATATACTATTATTCTCTTGCATTGTGAATAATATAGGAGAGATAATTTTGACAGAATTTCTTTATGGTTTGTTGTAGGTGGATTTGTGAAGTAGATAGGTTCTTCGAGATCCCTCTTACTGCGGATTTGGTGGTGCTTGATAGACCAATTTGGGAACTTGTTTTGTTTTGTTTAAAATATGAACACCATTGTTATGTTTAAAATATGAAGGAATTTTAGCAGAGACCTTGTGCACACTGTTCTTTTGTTTCCCTCTTTTACCTAGCAGGGTGCAGGGCAGGCAGTGGCACTCAGAGTAATAGCAGATCGTTGTGCTTTCTATAATTGCAGGTTCCTTGTGTGGCAGGTGCTTCACTGTCTTCATATTTTTATTCTGAGTTTGATTTTAGAAAGTTATGTGTGCATGATGTATCCTTTATAGTGTGTGTTGCGTAAACATAATAAGATCTTCAATTAACAAGAGGCCATGATTGTTAGGCTAGATGGTTTTGTACACCATTATCCTTCTGTTTCATTTGAGGAAAATCTGAGGTACCAAGGTGATAAATAAACTTATTTTGTGATTAGTACAGGACACACTGTACTTACATTATGGAAAGCAATACTTGAAAGATTGTTACATTGCAGGGAGTGTGGACTTCATTTTTGGTAATAGTACTGCACTCTTGGAACATTGTCACATCCATTGCAAATCCGCGGGGTTTATAACCGCACTGAGAGCGAAACTCTCCACAGGAAAAAGCTGGTTATGTATTCCCGAGGTGTGTGATCATGCCTAATACTTACAACATCATCTTCCCACATTAATATTTTTTTTAGTCATTGTAACTTGTTTAACAAGGAAAGAGACATTTCCCAATCATCTTGTTTCCCCTACAATACAACGGTGTTAGTGACTCTTACTTTGTTTTCCAATTCCAAGGCAAAATATGTTCTCTCTTAGTTCTTCCGATGTGAAATCAAGTAAGTACCTAGGTTGAAGTTTATCATCATGACTGAGTCATTTTTATGAAAACCGATTAAGATAATGAGAGAATGTCTGGTTTTGAAGATGATCTTGCTTTTAAGTTTTGCAGTTTGGTTTGTAAATGTTTAGAAGCATGGCTAACACGGATTTAGGAGTATTTAATTAGAAAAAAACATTCTAGGTTAAAACAAGAACCAGATTCTCTTGAAGCTAGGGAAATGATCCCTTGAAAATTCAATGAATTCGGGAATCCCGTAAGAAATCTTAGAATAAAAATCTTTGAATCTCATACTACTCTATGCTTCCTTGTCAATATTTTGCTCCTCTCCCTTTACGGTGTTTCTTTGGTGTGTTAATCTGTTAAACTTCGAGTCCAAGAAAGGATACTACACAAGTAAAGTACTTTTATTATGTTGTGAACATTTTGGTTCCTTACATGATGTTTTGTTTGTGGTGTCATTGCGGATGTGTTGTCACAGGTAATGGGGGAACTTCATATGCATATCCGGGAAGACCATGGAGACCTTTTGCAAGAGTGGTTTTTGCATTCACTTTCATGGATCAATGTATAAAGCCTACGAGGTGGAATAATTGGGGCAAAGTTGAGAATGAAAGAACTTCTTGCTTCTATGAATACGAGCAATCATTTCTAACTCCATTCCGTAGTATTGTTATCATCACCAAGGCCTTCTTATACTCATTAAATCAATGGATCCGACAACAGAAATTGTTGATAATTTCATAAAAACATCAAAGTGAAAGAAGGTCTAAAGTGTATAAAATTATTGTTTATTGAGTTGAACAAGTTTGGAGTAATTTGATAAGAGTGCAGGTGTTCGGACCGGGTTTATGTCCATCCCAAAGAGTGAAATGGGCCGGAGAATTGAAGAATGAAGGAGGCTGAGCGGTTTCGAGTCACACCTTCATTGATCCGAATCGGACAGATCTTGGCTTCCTCAAAGAATGACCTTCAATTATTAATTAGGATTATTATTATAATAGAATAATTAATAGATCTTGGCTTCCTTCATAAAATTCCTACTACAAGTCACTATGACACTGACAATATACCAGAGGACTAATTTTCAATTTTATGATATTAAGACTTTGAATCTTGAGTAGTTGTTAAGTTCTTAAGTTTCATTTGTGTTATGTTTGGATGAATTAAGCACGTACAAATTTTGTAAAATTTAGTGTAGTCGTGGACGTAGGCATACATATTTTAGCCGAACCACGTTAAAATTCTTGTGTCGTTTATTTTTCTCTCCTTCATTCTTTCCTTTATTATTGTCTTGTTCCTAACAATTGGTATCAGAGCCAATTTTCTTAGTATGCTCTGTGGTTGCAGCTTTGTCTGATCTTCCACATCAGAAAAGATTTGGTCTTTTTTCTTGGGAATCTCAGTTTAGAGAAGCAGTGGGAGCTTTCTTCGAAAGCAGTGAGAGCAATGGCAAGTTGTATCTACCCTTGACAGGCGAAGCCAACCGACATGGAGCGATCGGAATGGGAGTTGTTAGATCGGCAGACGCTTGGTGTGATCCGGCGACATTAGCCAAGAATGTTGCGTTCAACATCATGAACGAAAAGACAACCGTAGATTTGATGCAGGCGTTGTTAAATATGTATGAGAAGCCCTCTGCAGCCAATAAAGTGCATTTGATTCGCAGGCTATAGCTTTTGGCCTAGTGGTAAGCGCTCGATCCTAACAGGATATACAAAATTTGACTTTAGTTCTTAAGTTTTCATTTGTGTTATGTTTGGATGAATTAAGCAGGTACAAATTTTATGATTTGAATAATTTGACTTTAGTTCTTAAGTTTTCATTTGTGTTATGTTTGGATGAATTAAGCAGGTACAAATTTTGTCAAATTGGATATACAAAATTTTAAACGAAAATTTTCAGATTTGGTTAGATTAGCGACCAAATTTTTGGTCGCTACAAATTTATTATAATATACAATTCAAATTTAGCGACCGATTTAATGACCGATTTAAATTATTATTTAAATAATTCAATTAATATATTAGCGACCGATTATATCCGTCGCTATTATTTTTTAACTTTGTCTCCATTTTAACGACCGATTTAGCGACCAATTTTAATTTTTATTTAAATAATTATATTAATATATTAGCGATCGAATATATCGGTCGCTATTTTTTAAAACTTTACCACGGATTTAGCGATCGATTTATTATATTAATTTCGGTCACTATTTTGGTCTTCAATGAATAAGTGACCAAATTATTTAGCGACCACTTTAGCGACCACCTTATCGGTCGCTATTTAGCGACCGAAATGTAAATCGGTCGCTAACCAATTAGCGACTTGCCCTTTTGCGACCAACCATTTCGGTCGTTAATTTCGGTCGCTAACGGAATAACGATCGAATTTTGGCCATTAGTGACCGATTTTTTCGGTCGCTAATAGCGTTTTTTCTTGTAGTGGTCTTACCAAAAAATTATCATATAGAATAAAATAATTTTATTTGACAAACAGATAAAATATTAAAATTTAAGGAAAAACCTCAAATATTATTTTTCAATCATATAAATTTTGTTAGAAATACATTGGTGTAGATGATTTCTAGGATCAAATATCATATTATTTATTGTTACAGTTGTCAATAATCCACATATATATATTACTATAATCATTCATAATTATAACTAATATAGTATCTTTATACTTTATTTGATAGGGAAATATATTTTTTTATCTTATTTCTATTGATACTTTTGAAAGAGTATTAAAAATTTCTTGAAATTGAATAAGAGATAGATTTATTTTTTTTCTACATGAAAGAAATTTCATTTCCTTTTATTAACGGTTTCAAATAATTTAAGTTATAAATAATTTTCATCAATCAAGAATTAATATACAAATATAAATTAGAATATATATATATATATATATATATATATATATATTTTCTAACAATAACTTTTATTTCTTTATTTTTAGAGAATTGATAGGATGATTTTAAAAAATGAAAGCCACCCAATTATGTGAATAGGAAAAGTTTTACTTATCCCACGATGAACGTCAAATTTTTCTTATTGAAAAAATTATATTAATGAATAAAATCATATTATTTATAAATCTTTTATTAGAATATTTTAATAGTAAATTATATTTGTTTAAGAATGATTATAACTAAGCACCCAACATATTAATTACACATTGTTATCATAATATATATTGATATAGGAAATATTTTTGTTATGTAATAAATATAATAAATTTAGGACTCCAGGTATTTTTCATTTTTTTATTGAAAATAATTTTACATCAAAAAATTATTTATATTCTCTTGACAAATATAAATATTACACTTGTCTTTTTTTACTTGAATATATATAACTTTTTCCTTAAAGAAAATTAATAAAATTGTGATGTATTTTCCTTTATTAAATAAACAAAATTTATATTTTAAAACTACATAGAAAAGTCCAATACCTAAAAACTAATAAAAGAGACACCATAAATATGAAGAAAAACATTAAAAATTAGAAAGAGAATTTAATCATAATAAAGTAGAGACCAACAAAACTAAAACATCAAAACTAAAAAGAAAGAGGAATTTTTCAATATAGATTATGCCATTGCTCTCTCCTTAGGATTGATTTCCCCCATTTAAGACTTACTAAACAAAATTCTAGAAAGGTCTATTTCAACTTAAAATGAGTCAAGCCCAAATAACATAAAAAAATAATGAAACTTCAGAGGTTATTCTCATTAGTTTCGTCACTTAGCTGTTTGAATTTTTTCTGCGTGTAATTTTCAAAACTTCAAAATTTTAGCACATTCAAAACTCGCACAAGTGTGTAACTTTTTCAACTGTTTTAATAACCTTATTCTTGTGTCCCCTCAAGACCTCCAAAGCTCCAATCTTCAACCTTCATACATGATTCGGAATGCATAAAATCACTCTTGGACAACTCCAAAAATGGTAAGAAAATCCTCTCCTAAAACACAAAGCGTAACAAATTAAAAAAAAAAATGAAAAGACATATAAATATGTAAAGAAGACCTAAATGATATGTTTATATAAAAGTTTGAAGTGTGAAGTTTGATAATTTGATATTCCCAATCCTCTGATAATGATAATGATGCAAGTGATGATGATGTTGATCTTAATTTGAATTATAATTTGAGTGTTATAAGAAACTTCTCTATGCTTGATCTAGCACTAGTTAAATATATAATTCAAAAATTGTTTTAGCTAATGTTAAGATGGTTTCTCCTATTTTAATAGATTAAAAATACTTTTTATTTGTAGTTTTTCTTCATTGAAATTTATGAGGAAAATCTATTTTAATCAATTAAATTAAATTTAATGGATTCATTTCACTAAAATCTTTTAGTCTTAGAAGTTTCTCTCTTTTAATGGATAATAAGGCAAGTAGATTGAAATAAATTTTAATCACTTAAATATAATATTTGTATAAGTGAACTATCCCAAACTAATTTTAACAATCAATACAAAAGAAAAAAGTTTATATCATTTTAAACACTTGAGAGAAGATATACATTTTGGAAAAATACTTCATTGAATTGTGCTATAAAATCATTTACATCAAGATAAAGTATTAAGTTTAACTACATTGTAAATTATCTATCTATTTCTTCTTTTCATCTTGTGTCAAACACAAGTTGAAGAGATTTTGTTCCTTATTCTTTATATCTTGGGTTTGTATATTCTGAACTAGGGTGATTAATATCTTACTTAAGATACGATTTTATAAGTAGTGGTAGAAGATCTCAGTGTATTTCTTCTTTAGTAGGATTGTCAGAAGTGTTGTTTATGATAAAACTTCATAAGTGGGAATAGGAGATCCGAAAGGGTTCAAAAATTTATGGTGTATGCTAGTACATAATTTTTTTAGAATTATTTTCTTAAATGATTTTTATACAACTTGAAAATATAATGAATTAAATTAATTAATTAATTAAGTAATTAGATATAACTTTCTTACAAGGATGAAAAAAATATAATTCTTGAAAAAAATATAATTCTTGTGTTTTTTTATTTTTTTTTCCTTGCTTCCTACAAGTTATATTTGAATCGAACCTTAATTGAACGTACTTTGAAAGTTAAATAACTTTAATATTGACATTTTTTTAAACTAAAATTTATACTCTTTTTTATGTAAAAAACAAAAAAAAATGCAAAAAACAATTTATGTGGTTGAAAAACAGGGATATGTTAATAATATGAAATTAAATGAAAAAAAAATGAGAGAAACAATTCATAATATAATATATAAAATTTTTCTACTACATTTAGTAGGTTGCACCTTCTTTGTTCATGAGAGTTTCATAATTATAAATGTGACATTCTAGGTCTTTTTATGACCTTGGGATATTTGATAGGTATGCTTATGACATTTTTGTCTCATATACCTTTTTGCTAGGTCTTTCAAGAGGATTCACTGGAGAGAGACAACACTAATGAGATATGAGTCTAACTCACATAACGGATTGACATCACCTTCAATCCAAAACTTGAAGACATAAGTTTATGATCTTATTTTCTTATAAATTATTAAAAAATTTTATTCTTACTTGATATAAGATTTAGACTTACATTTAACTTTCTCCACACTTTTCAACCTCACCAAAGGTAGAGTCAACCTCAAAGTCAAGGGACCAACATTAAAATAATATATATATATATATATATATATATATATATATATATATATATATATATATATTTATTTATTTATTTAGAGAGGGCCATAACCCTTAAAGCTCCATTGCCTCTGCACTGTGAACTCAACCATGTCAATTTGCATGATGCAAATAAGGTTAAGGTTATGATTCTTTAATATGCATTATAAGTCTACTTTATATTCTTTATTTGTAGTATTTTCTATTAGCATAAAAAATTAATGATTTTAACAAAATAAGATGGATGAACCTTCTTGGTAATTTAAGGGGGCACAACCCCCAAACCTTTTTAAACTATTTGCATATCTATAATTTTGGTCTTGAAAAGTTTTATTCTCTCGTATTTTCATATCACCTTTTCATATTCCTCCAAAATTATTGATCAAGATATGTTATTAATAATAAGCATGACATTTTTAACACTCACAAATTGGGGATTAACTATACTAAGCAAGCACCTTCTACTAATAAGAGGTTATTAAAGGTTTGACAGATGTATTTTCCATATAAACTATGTTGTTAAATAGATAAACTTTTTAGGAGAATAGTACAAGGTGTCTATGCAATACCTAATTTGGAAAAATGAAGAAACTTGAATTGATTTCTTATGATTTTACTTAGAACGACAAACTTATATTTATACGCAATCATCCACCATTTATAAAAGTTTATTCTTAATATATTTAATTAGTTACTATGTTAAAGTAACTATAGAATCAATTACATGAGGAGACTTTTAAATTTCATATGTAACTCACATAAAGAGCAACTTTTTTAAGAAATATTTTTCTTCTCAAAACTATGTTAGATTAAACTAGTTATCATGTGTTAGAAGATGTTATAACAATTTGAGCATGTAAGACATATGTTTGTAATTGAAAGTTTATTCCTCACCATGATCACATATTTATGATGTTGATTCAAGGTAGTTGATGATTGATTGATCATGCATGGATACATACATTGATTGCTTCTACCTTGTTTCCTTTTCATACCTCATAACTCTAAGAAAATAGAAATTATGTAAGGATCCTTATATGAGTACCAATTCAACTTTTACTATCCAAACATACTTTAGTTTAAAGGACTTTCACTCGTACGAAAATACTTTTTTACTTCTCAAAAACTAAAATTAGTTAACGTGAATTTTTTATAAAAAGACAATTATTATTTTTTTGAAATTTTTGAATCATTTTCTACATTTGATTACTCAATAATAATAGCTATTAAAATACATTATGATCCATATATATTTCCTAAGTTGAGATTGAAAGGGCTTAATAAAAATGACACTGAGAATATTTGTAAAAAAATGAATGACTTAAGTTTTATCAAGTAAGTAATTTTTGAAATCTTTATAAGGTTGAGAAGAGTTAGACGTAGTTTAGATTATGTAATAATATTGATTCCACATGATCATGTTTTAATTTAAATTAGTAGGAAAATAAATTAATTAAAATTGAGTATTGATTTTAAAATAAAAAATTTAAGGAAAAATCAATAATTAAAATAATAATGTAATACAATTGAAATAAAATTTATATAAGGAAATTCTTAGGATTGGATTTTGCACAAAAGACCTCATATTAATTTAATCTCTTTACATTAATACTTTTTCAAATGAATTAACCTTAGATGACATAGGATCTCTTTTGAGTAAAAAAATGTATCTCATTGAATTGATGAAGTCCTTGATAAAATTCACCTCTTGATCATTCCTTAAGTATTTATGATAATACAAAATTATTGTTAAATATTTCGTAAAGATAAAATCAATATAAGAGATATTAAGAGGATAAACCAATAATAATGGAGAAATTAATTAAATATTATTAGTTAGCAAGGTTTGAGGCTTAATTTTAAATAGAGAGACTACTTACTCATAGTCATAAAAACAAACAAATTAATAAAAAAAAATATCAAATTTAGATAAGAGTTGAATTTTTCACCTCCTAAAATGTCTCATTTAAGAATGATTATAGAATATAGGAACATACTAGTTATAAAGAATTTTGGATCCAAATTATAATTAAATTATAAATATAAGAAAATTTAGAAAAAATGTCAATCATGTTTTTAAATGTAATAAACATATGACAATTTTGTCGTCATGAGTAATAGTCACACTTCTAAATGTCATTGTTGTGATATTTTTTTTTATGGAAGAAACAAGTTTCTATAAGAAGTTACAACCATTCCCTCAATGTCACATTCAAGCAATTTGAAAACATTCACTTTTTTTTTTTCCTTTCATCACACATTTCAAGTGTCTTGAGATTTTAAGTTCCCTCCAAAAGTTCTTATAACTTTTCTTTAATGATTTATTTCTTCTTGATAACAAATGATATACTTGTAAATAAGCATACCCAAGGTCTAACCTACATTAAGGAAAATGAATTTTTTTTTTGGAATAAATAAGCATGAAAAGTAAGTCCTGGTGTGCAAAACATGCTTCTTATTCTAAACATCTTGCATGATTGATGTAGAATTCAAACACATCAACTTATAATTCTTATCAAATATTAAATGTTAAATCCATTATATATAATTACTTAATATTTTTAAAAAGGTTTTCTAATCAATTTAAGTTTTTCATATATACACAAACATTATATTCACTTTCCCCTCTTTTAATGTGTTATTTGTATTTTAAATGAGACAAACAGTGAATACATACTGCTTGTGTTTATCTTAATTGTTGTCATGCATACTAATATTATTAAAATATATAAGAACATTTTTTTTAAAACTAGAATAATCTTCTCCGGGATATTATCCACACAAGTTGCAAATAAAAACTTGAAGCAAACATATATTTAACTTTTACACTCGAAAGAATTATGATGTTTTGATTTTTACTAGCCTAAGAGATAAAACATACCTTAATGAAAGAATAACCTTCAACTAAATTTTCTTTTCATTTTTATATGTAACATAATCAACACCACATTATCTAATCAATTTCAAGTATTGATATTTCTCATAAAATAATCTCAAGTTTGTAGTACCTATAACAAATCCTAGCATATACCTTAAGATTGTCTACATATTCACCTTACTTGATTCATATTTGGTTATACTTAATGATGGATGAATAAGTGTGTTTGAGGGCTTGCAATTTTTTAAGTTGAACTTATTTAATACTTCTTTTACTTATTTTTGTTTTTGGATGTAAATTTCATCTTTCATATGGTTTATTTGCAGTTGTAGAAAGATTTCAAATCTTGTATCATGTTCATCTCAAAATCACTCTACAAAAATTTATAAAGATATTCATGGGTATCACCAAATAAAAATATCATTTATATTATGTGTAATAATCACTATTTTGAAAATAAGAATAGATGGATAAGTTCAACCGGTCTAATTAGGAATTAGTCTATATATGTAATAATAACTATTTTTTATTATGTTTTCATCTTATTTTTATTATTATCCATCTTACACTTCTAATATATTTTATATTTGTAGCATTAAGTGTACCTTACGATAATCATGATAATAATCTTTATTAAAAAAAATGTTATTACTAATGAACTTATTATATTATAAAAATATTATTATTAATAAACTTATTATATTATAAAAATATTATTTTATTAAATCTGATTACTCTAATTAAATCATTTTCATGTCTCTATGATCAATCTAATTTTAAAAATTTTAATAATAATGAAATATTTTTCAAATTTTCATATAAAAAAAGTTGTATCTACTTTATTCTTATAGACTAATTTTCAAACAAAAATAAATCAAAGTTGTTTTAGATTTAATGAAAATATAAAAATATGATATGAAAAACTATAATCTGAAAAAAATACACGAGGTTGTTTAATATAAAATTCTTCTTTTATAAAACCATTTAAAGCACATTTTTCATATTCATTTGTAATAAATTAATATCATATTTTTATAATGAATTTTATTTTACTATCTATTTTTTATATATAAATAAATATTTATAATTTATAATTGTTATTAATTAAATATACATTTTAATTTATTATATTTATATTAAAATGTGTATGTAAAAGAAATATTTAATCATTTTTTATTTATAATATTATTATTATTATTATAACACTGTATTCAAATATTTGAATATTTATAACACTATTATTATAATACTCGTATTCAAACATTTGATTATATATATAAGTTAATTTATTTTTAAGTTGTCATTTAAAAATATGAAATATATTGTTTATAAGGAAATATTTAATAAGTTAATTCTTATTCAATTAGTTCGAAGTAATAAAAATTTAAATTATAAATTCCTTTAATCCTTTAAAATACAATTATTTTATTAAGATAAAATTTGATATATGATAAATAAGAATAATAAGATAAAAAAATATGACATAATAAAACCTAATAAATATAAATTATAAATAAAATAATATTAGTTACTACTTTATGTAAAATATTTAGAAAAAAATAAAGAATAAAAAAAATTAACTTTGTGTTCATCAAATTGGTTGAAAAGATTGAAAAAAAAAACAAATTGATGGGAGAGATTAAGGAGATGTGAAAAACTGAAAGGTAAGAGAAAGAATAATATAATAAATTAATTGATATAAAAGATTAAAAAAGATAAAAAAAATTTAAAAGTGGGTAGAAGAAATTTTTTTTGGTGAAATATAAAAAAATGACCTTATATGTAAAAAGAAAAGGAAATACTTTTAGAATATTAATATTTTAAAATTTAAATTTAAATATAAAGTATGGGTGGGGATTGCATTACCCATTTCTGCCCCGCCCCGACTTTTTAAAGCGGGAAAAACCCGAACCTGCCCCCGTCCCCGGTCAACTCGGGTTTTCCCGTTAAACTCGGGCAGGGACGGGTCGGTCCCCACGGGACGGGTTTAATTCTCATCTCTACCAAAAGGTAATGCGTCTTATACGGTTAATAATTATCAGTATAGCAGCACACATGAGTAAGATAGAGGAATCTGAGATGATCTCTGTTTTAAATATTTTAATACAAATTAAAATTTGGACCATATATAAATACTCATATACAATTAAGGTAATTCATGACAAATGAAAGATGATGAAATTAAAAGAAATAGAAAATGAAAAATTAAATAAAATTTATCAGAATGTGAACTGGGAAGTTTAAAAAATAAGATTGATTAACTTTATTTTTCATTTTTACTTTGCTCTTTATTAAGAAATTCATCCAATCAATAGGGACTTCTTTCTTAGCTCATGAGTAAAACTATCTTGGAAATATTTCAATTCACTGCAATCAGATTTCTTGCTCATACGATGTCGCTATAGCAGATAGAGATTTCTTGCTCATATGCTGTCGCTATAGCAGATAGAAATTATGATTAGCTACTCTTCTCAGTTATAGTTAAACTCACTTTTTGTTGACATAGAAATAGCGAAAATAATGTCATTAAGCTTGTGTTTGGATTGAGTGGAGATTTGAGATAGTGAATTTGAGATGATTTGAGTGGATTTGTGGGATTGTTCGGATTAAGGGAAAGATAGAGAATTTGAAGGGATTTATTATAATTTATGTGATTAATGTAATCGAATGTAAGATAATTGGATACTAATATTTTTAGTATAATATAATGATTAAATTACTCTTGTGAGGTAGAATTGATAAATTAAGTAGAAATTAGAAGATGAGAAATATAAAGAAACAAGTTTGTGTACTGATTCTTAATAAAGTAAGTAGAGAAAAAAAAAAGAACAAAAACGTTACAATTAATCATAAATACAATAAATTTTTTCATTAAGCTTAATAGATTCCAGTACACAAATAACATAAGGCTCAAACAATTATGCATTACAGATTACTTGAATGTAAAATTAACTACAAACATGATATCCTATGGTGGGAGAGACGGGCCACCTTCGTTCATGTGCTTCAACAAGTAATTTAGCCTCAAATGTGATAGGATGCCAAAAATCATATCCTTATGGACGAGATTTCTGCAAATGAATTCATAACACTGCAATTGAAGCTAATCGTCTAAAAGGTTAAGTTCACATAACATTTGTCATATATCTGATGGAGAATAATGTGACGTAACAGAATTTCTCTAGATCATAATGTGTTCATTGTATAAATTTGTTTGCCGGCGCATGTCAGCGGCCTGAGCCTCTACGGTAACAACCTGCCACTCCACCAAGTCTATTAGCCTACCTGAATATTTGTTGCACTCTCCCATCCTACCCATCATGTGGTGGATCCTGTGTCCATGGCTTCAAATTGAGAATTAAGATCAACATCAACTATGTGGACTTTCCACTTTGAGCCTCTGGATGAAGAGGTACGTACCATTGGAACGGGGAGATGGGACAGATGGAGAGACACCCAAACTGTACGAGTCGACTCGCGGTGGATTGGGCTACATCTTAGTGAATGAGGGAGTGTAGTTCTGGTGGAGGATGAGATTAACTTCTTCATTTAGATAAACTCCCAAGTCCATTGTGAAATCGCGACACGGACAAACTTCTCGTGCAGTCCTTATCATGTGGCCAGTCACACAGTTAGCTCCTCATAGCTCTTCCATCAAGTCATAAAACCTAATGGGAGTGACGTGCCATTTGGCACCAGATGGTTTTGCCTGAGATAAAACATTTGAACACACATTCAAACATCATTCATTGTTATAATTAAAGTGCAACTTATTTTCCTTTAACACTAATAACTAAATCAAGTCTTGCCAGACTTCAGGTTCAGCTTCAAACATCCTTGTAGCCTCATTCCATGCAAAACTGCTGAGGCCATTAAACAAATCGTGGACTTTACGCCGATGATCTTTCAAACATTTTTCCTTGTTCTTTATGTTATTTTTGTTAACGGTACTATAACTTATTTATCGTAGTGCCTCGACCATGTTAGAATAAGCTTGAGATGCCCAAGCTCCATCTACTCGGTTCCCATCTTGGGCCTCATCAACCATTGCAGTTAGTAGTTGTAGATTCATGTCTTCAGTCCATTTTCTGAACTCTCACATGTTCTGATTACTATCAACTTGTCCTTTACCTCTTTTCATTTTGCGCATGCAAGGAACAAACTAATTCCAGGCTTTATGTCAATGCTATTATGCTCATCACAATTAGAGTTAATAAATTATGTAATCGTTGATAATATTATGAATAAATATATTGTCAATTACACACGGAGTACATGAATAGTTTATTGTTGATAATCAACTCACATTTGAGCTGCTATCATATCCCTCAAGTTTGATCCCTACCTATAATCCTCCTCTTGAAGTTGTCTTGCAAACCTATCTTCCTAGGTTTCTTGTAATTCTCGGTCAATTTCCTCTAACAAACATTCGTCGTTATCTACTCCATGTGAAAAAATGTGTAAAATGCAACAAGCCAATACTATATTCTTCGATGTTTCAAATGAATAATGGGGTTCTGTCTCACTTTTTATAATGAGAAATCTCTTTTTCAAGACACCGAAGGTCCCTTCGATAACATTTCTCAATAAAGAATGATGATGATTGAATAATTCTTGGGGATTCGTCAGACCTCTTTGTGAATACTCTTTAAGGTGGTAGCGTACCCTGATATGAAGTAATAATTTGAACTTTTAACATGAATTAAGCATCTCCTAGGTAATATTAGTCTACACCATATAAACATCATTTACTAACTTCAAATTGGTATTTATGTGAATAAATACATCTTAAGTGTCATCAATTTCGCTTACTTTCGGGTATCGTTAGTGGATCCTCCCTTGTTAAAGCATCTTTTTAAATTCTCGAATCAGATGAAGTGCATTTCCATCCGCTTAGCACATATGTGAATCTCATGTCAAAATCACACGCTACAAAACATTTTGGGTTAACTAGTCCTTTCTACCCCAGAAATGAGGGGATTCAATCGTGCTACCTACGAACATGTGTTCCATCAATTGCCCCAAGAAAATCCTTTAAATAAGGGTAACATCTTGGATTGTGATAATTTTGTGGCTGCACATGCCTTCTGGATGGTTGAACCAAATATTTATCTTCCAAATCAATTATTGCATTCAACACGTTGTGGAAATGTTGGCTCACTATGTCACTTGAGTGATGAAAAAACAAATGACATGGTACGATTTTTAATATTATGGCCTAAAATATATAAAAATTTGGTAACTTGTTCTTCAACTGTCGACCTAACACTTCTTTGATGACGTTAGTTGTTCTTAATCGATGACATAATTTGATGAAGGTGTCGGGTCCCATGTAAATAATATCACGACATTGCTCCGAAGGAACGAAATATGACATTAACTGATATCTACAATGATAATT